AATTCTCCATAGCTCACTAAAACTATCCACATCACTGCCAAATGATCCACCGTGCTTGAATCTCTTCCGGAATCATCCAAAATATTCTATCGTGACTCCGCGACGGCTGGAAAAAACTGGTATGGTAATATATCTGTGCTCGTCTGATGCCCCGCGCTCTGGGGGCCATTGCGTGATACTTGTAAAAACTGCTAATTGATTTTTTTTACTCTGCATATCCCCGGTTTCTACTGTATGTTTAAAGGTATAAAACTGAGTGGGGGCCGGACACCTAAGTCGTGAATTGCCCTTCTCGGAGTCTACGATACTGACAGCTAAGCCGGCTACTTATGCATGCCTACTTAACTAGCTCTTCTCCGGGGGTATATGACACGGGATTTGAGGCAGTGGATGGCGCAAAGCCCCTTCCAGCTAACGATATACCGGCAAAACGGGACTGAGTGGAGAGTGTCACCGGAGCGGCAATAACATCTCTTGCTCCAGGACAACTAAAACAATGGCTTACGACAGGAGAAAATCTTGTCCACGGGTACTGATAGACAATGCTCTAGGAACTCGATCCTCTAGCTAGCAAAAAACATGACTTTGCCGTGATATCCAGCCCATGAACAGCGGTGGTTTGTTCTATCCAAATGACGGTTGACTTGTCAACGCATACCGACACCTGGGTACTATTGCCGTTTGTCAGACTACCATAGATGTCTTACTGGAGTTTGATGATCGGGGATCTGACGGGGAGCAATGGAGGATTGCGTGGTCCCCACCATGAAAGAAGCAGGTTTTTTTATCAACTGTGGCCTGATACGATAAAGCTATCTTAGATTTTTTATCTATTTTTCATAAGAACTATATTTTCAGATTGTCATTTATTAGTGCATTCTGCTCCCAGCTCAATATGCCGTGCCTGACCAATGGTTGAGCTCTTGCCATCCTGGCAACCTGATACCTAATTGTGGGATACTGACACGGAAGCGACAATGGAGTGTTCAACGGGGGGGCGCTTGCGGACTTTAGCTTGCTCTATGATGCTGTATGACCTCCTGGTATACGGTGGGCTAAGGCGATTGGAGATAGACCCGCCGGTAGCCATGGAATGTGATTGATAACATGGAGAGAAAAGATGATGGAGCAGAAATTAATTGAGATATAAGTGAAACAAGAGCTATCGGTCTGTCAGATAGCGGCTGCTACTCATATCTAACCAAGAAGGGAATGAGCGGGCCTACCCATGGGTAGTTTAAGACATTAAAATCATTAGCCAGAACGCTAATCCTTTTTGAGTGGCCCCCGGGTACCGGTACTCTGATCTGGTTGAAATAGAAAGTTGCTGATTACACAGTCGCAAATCCACAAGCCGGAAGAGCCATAGGCTAGCTAGTCTAGGGTCAGTCTAGGGTTAGGTGTCTGGCTACGAACTTTAGCCTAAGGTATACAGAGAATAAAGTGTGACAAGAGATGGACGCAAGGGCAAGTTCCTCATGATAAAAAGCCCCAAGTTTCAAAGTGTGCCAAAAACAACTGAACGTATACCACTTCCACTCTTGTAGGTATATAAGAACCAATGCTCATTAGTGAGGGGATTCTCCATACCTCAACTAGTCATCACACTTTTAAGAAGGCTACTTACTCGCTACGGTTGCTTGGGTTATTCCCTGTTCAGGGCATTGGGTCTTTCTTCCAGAGCCTGCAGAGGCGGGAGAGGATACTGCGGGATTATGAGTAGTGTGTAACAGGTACAGCCGAAAAATTATTCCGGGAACTTAGAACCCTTCCCAAACCCATTTTCCACAAAACTAATACTAATTATGAGTTTCTACTATGTGGAATATTCTTTCTTCTCCGTAGGGCCCTGCAGCGCCAGAGCCCCTGCACAAGTCTTTGCATCTACACATATATAACACTATCCGTGTGGGAAATACGAATAAAGGAATTTAGGTGATCTGACTGGATATTCTGTCCTCAGTTTCTCCCTTCTGCTCTATCCCCTTCAGCCGGTCTCCGTGCTCCTAAAAACTGGTGGAGTGCGCAAAATCAAGGAATAAGAAAAGGACAAAAAGAGAGCTAACAGGCATATCTGGTTGGGTGGAAAAAAAAAAGGCACCCCCCTCCCGGATCTGCTCCACCGCGGAAAGCGGTTCATTGGGTTAAGCCAAAATATGATTTACTGGGCAAGCCTATGCCTGGGGAAACCCTGAAGAGGAATTTCCAGTTTTATTTCTGATGGCCTAATCTCTTCCGGAGTTGGTAATCGCGATTTAGTTTGAATCTTGGACCTCAGGCCCAGGGGTCCCGCGTACTGATCCGCGACCGTTGGCAGCAAATATTTGATCAGAGTTTAAGACATGACTTGAATGATTTTAATGTTGGAATTGTGCCGGAAATAAACAACACCCCCCATGAAACCAGATGAGTCTCAACTTGCCAATAGAGGAATTGAACTGAGTAGAGCTATGATATATTTTGTGTAACTTAGGAATTTCTTTCAAGATTTTTTTGGTATCGTGACGACTTCCATTTGCGCCCAGAGAGATGGCGCAGCAAGGGGAAAGCATCAGGGCTTGTTCTTCGTCTACTAGCCGTTTCCAGCCTCAGGAGCTCCGAGTGAGTGCTCATGACTGAACTAGACTAAGCATCATTACCTCTACCATGCATTGGGCTTCCAGCCTCCCATCCTGCCTGCCAACATAGCATGTGGGAAGGTAAAATGGATTTGCGATTGGTCAATAGTGTGCCCATGAGCAGCTTCCATGCTCAAGGCATAAGACAGTGAAGGAATAACAGCGCCACCCTCTCTCTATCTCTGGCCGAACACCAAATGCAAAAGAAGGCTTTGGGCCAAACCACTGTTCCCCTCGGAGTTGGGTATTATTAGGTTACATTGGGTAGAGCTAGATACAAGCTGGGCAAGTTTTTTTCCATCTCCCTAACATTTCAAGGGCCCGATGCCATTCATATGAATCATATCGTGCTCTACTAGTAGCCCCCGATGAGTATACCACACCATGAAAACTCGTGGTGGCCAAAATGCTGCAAATATCAATTTTGATTTGCTGTTTAGTGACTATGCTCTTAAGAAATCAAAGCGCAAATGTAAATATAGGTAGAGTCGCCAAACGTCTGTCGGACTGTATTCGATTGGAGCCAGGAGTTAGAGTGCGATCATCATGTGTCACTCGGTCCAGGCATTTGGAGAAAGTATGTTTGGAAATTTATAAAGTGCTCCGGAGCTTGGCACCCATCGAGGTGATAATAATGTTCAAGGCGTCCGAATACTTTATAAATGGTCAAGTGGATTTTAGCCCAAAGGACTAAAGAGTCTAATATCGGTGGCAGTTGCTACGGAGGCTCATGTGGCAAGCACAAGCCCCACAGTCGGTCATCACGTTCACAGCATATCCCTGCCGGGTGGCTTCGATCCACTTTTTTCCCCTCCCCGCTCTCCCTTTAGATACCTAATTCTGTCTTTCCGTTTGACGAATCTGCGGCGGCTGCGTAGGGAGCTCAACACCACCGCATCTCCGCGACCGGCAAGACTCAAAAATAATAATCATGAGGTCCTTGTCAAGTTTTTGGAGAGAGATTCCCTGGCTCTTGCTAAATACCGAAAAATCGGCAGATGTGCATTGCCCCAGCTTTCAAAAGATCACTTCAGTCAACTAAGAAGGGGTTCCATAAATCTGGCAGACCTCCTAAAAGGCTCCCCGGGGAGGTTGGTTAGCACGTCAGGTCCCCACTTCCCCATGGTGTTCGCCGATTTCGGACCATAACGTCTACTGTATGACCGCACACCCGCCAGGCTGTCCCTGAGCTGGGGCTCCAGCGGCGAGGGGTTCCGGGGCGGTATTATCCAAATTGGATCGCGTCCGGTTGTTTCGGGTTTTGTTGTGAGCAAGTGTCATGAGATGGTATTCAGGCCATGGCAGTGATTCCTCTTTATTTTTTGTGACGATCAAGCTCCCCCGAACTAACCCCTCAAGAGCAGGTGAGTTAGGTATTTGTAGGCGGCCCAATCCCGGATAAGACAAGGATGGAGTTGGATTACCTCAGTGACATAATGCAGTCGGTGGAGAATTCCAATTTGCTGAGTCGGCAGCTCTTAGGTAGCCAATCAAATCAATAGGGGACAACAAGAGCCAAAGTACACTGAGATAGAGTATCAGCCCCCCCTACCTATCTGTCTTGGAGGTTGATGGGGGCGACACGGAATATCCCGTGCCTTGCCAGTCTAGAAGACCGTATTTGATACACAGGTAAACTTGCCATTCTAGGTATAGGTGACCGGGTACCATGATCACCAGGTTTAGCTTTTGCGTAAATTGACCATATATTTTACATTAACTTTTGTTTTTCTCCCCGATAGAGAACTGTAGCACTCTGGTTGATTGGGTGTCAAATTCCCTTTTTCTTATCAAGTATTATCATGGTTGAGTGGCCCAGAATCATTGAAACGCTAAATCATGCAGCTTTCTGTGGAAAAGAGCTCCTGTTTTTCCCCGCATCGCCATCCAATACCTCTAGGTTTTCTATACCCTATCAGTGCCTGTTGTGTGAATAACACCGTCGTTCCCAAAAGTTCATTATTCTCACTTTTACAATTATATTTTTCAAGTAGAAATGAATCACAATATTTGTGCATCACGCCTTCATTAGTCCCTGGGGGGAATTTGCCCCTTCAAAAACGGCGCAAAGGGAGGCGGGAGATAGGGAATGCCTGTTTTGCCTCAATACCAAGAGAAGAGAAAGGAAAGAAGACTAAAGAGCAAGCCAAGTATTTTACATAGTATATCGTTTCTCGTACGGGCGGAATAGAGACAATGGAAAACCCGTGAACCGCAACTAGCCCTAGACAGCAAAATTTTGCTCAAGCTATTTTATAAAAATGTTGGCAATGCTACAGAAAATAGAGATAGCAAGAGAGTGTGTAAATAAAGGCAATGGGGTAGTAGACCGGTCAACCACTAGGTACAAAATCTGAGAGTTTATTGGGATCAGTGATAGATAAAGCCTCTATCTCCGTGGAAACCGGCCGGCGGCCACCGGGCCCCAGTAGTTCCACCGCTTGCGACACCGTACCAGCTTCTCCGGCGGTCCAACTATGGCTGCACGAAAAGATACCGGAATTCGTGCCAATAAGAGGGGCGTTGGAATAATTATTGTAAATGAAGACAGGGCTAGGCATATGAATTTCGGCAACTGGAATGGTTCTTGAGCCCTCTTTGGCTGTAATAACTGTGGGTGTATGATCCGGAGGAGTGATTCCGAGGGTTTTCTGTTTAGAATTGTAAGAGCAAGAATGGATATTTAAGATGTGTCCGAGGAGGGAACGGGAGGGAGGGGCATACTTTGATGAAGCTCCAGTGTAATAAATGGGACACCCAGAGACGGAATCGTGAGCTCCGAAGAGACACAATCCCCACAAGTAAAGTAAGGACAGCTACGGCAAGTCCCACTATGGCTACCGGACTTTTGCCATCGTCATTGTCCTCCACCCTGCTTTCCCCGCCAGCGCGTTTGCTGAGCTGCGATAACAAGATTTTGATTGGAATCCGTGATGCGCCCGGCATGGTGGCCCAATATTGTGCAAAACCGAGAGATTTACCAATCTGTACTTTCTGTGTGGAATGTAGTTGGTAGAAGGGGGGGATGCCAATAAGTTGATTATTTGGGAAGAGCCTTCTGTGGTAAAAGCGGAACTGCTGGAAATTTATAGAATCAGAAGGGTGATGATGAACCTATTTGATAAGATGCAGCTTAAAAGACATATGGATGGAATTAGGAGGAGCGGTTTAGGACCTGATTATTTTGATGGTGCGGTGAGGAGCACCTGCTCAAATCCGGGTTACACGAAGACAGCGCCAGAATTAAACGTTGTCGTGTGGCCAGGCTTCCTTGGCAAGTAATTGGGGGCTTGGTTTTTTGTGATGGATGGTCGGTGTGAGAGAGTATGTAAGTGACTTGCGCTAAGATTGGGTCGCGTCCTTCACCGCTACAAGCCTTCAGACCCACCTAGTCTAAACTAGATTAGGGTTTTCCGAGTGATAGGCCAGGTGAATTTTTTGACGCCCTGGCGGGGCGGGGTCTGGTCCCTTCAAAGTAAAGGAGGAGGGTGTGAGGAAGAGTCAACCTCGGCAGCAGGCCCGTGTAACGACACACGAAATACCGGTACCGTAACCTGTACTCGAGTACAGTAATAGTACAGCCGAACACCCCGTAACCGTACCGGTCCTCAAGCGCTGTTATGACCCCACGTCCGACATCCTTGCTATTGGGTTGCCTGGTCGGTCGGGCGTAAAGGGGCGTAAAGGTAAAGTCTGCTCAACTCCATCTGATTGTCTCAGGGCTTCATCGGGACTGGGAGAACTGTAGAGGGATTTCTTTCCAACCTCTGCGCCAAGAGTTTGACAGACTTTTTTTCCTGCCAGAAAAATCAGTGTTATGGCCGATTCAGTTCCATAGTTTGTGTTACACATGTAATTCCGACCGACCGACCAGGACAGGGCTCGGCATGCATTTGCACATACCCTCAATACAACACGAGTGCTCGTACAGTACCGTAAAAACCGAAATAATTGGGAATCTCTCGAGGTCGTTGGAGTTGCCTCTCTTAGTAAGATCTGTTGCATCTTTTCTTTTATTTGTCCTAGTAGAGGGTTGAAAGATAACTATTACGTAGTATTTCCCCCGCCTAATCCGCAGGGGGAAATTCTGGACGTCCTAGCGATATTCCCTATTCCCAATTAATTCGGTTTTTACGGTACAGTATGTGCAGCTCGAACCTTGCTTCGTCCCCGACTTGTGAACACCCCTAAGCCCACCACTCTAAACCCACCGCGTGACAACGGTATCATACCGCGGATGGAATCCTGCATAATATGCACGGTGAAAAAAGAGCGCTGTGTGTGGCCGTGCAAAGCCCGGCGCAGCGCCGGGGCCTGGAGTTGCGGTTTTGAAGTGGGAAAAAGAAATCATGTTACTGAAATGACATTATGATATCACACAAAGATATATTTCCTCCGCTCCAGCTACTATGCACTCAGAACGAGGCCAAAAAACACATCCCCCCCACCCGAAATCCAACGATACCCCCAATTCTTTTGCTAGTTGCTGGGGACCTTAACTGGTAAAATAACCCAGAGCTCTATTTTACCTTTCCTTCTCTTTATCGACGGCAGTTTTCTCTTTCAATTGGCCCAGTGTGTATGGAGGCAACACAAGCGAAGACAGGCGAAGTTTGGAGCACACATTTTGGACCCCTAGGACTGTAGCGGAAACTATTGCACCACTAAGGGGCCAAAATAAAGTTGTACCATGCCTCCCAGCTCCCTCACCGTTCCTTGCCTTCTCCGTCCGAGATAGGCAATCTTAATAACTTCGAAGGGTGGGACCCGCCTTGGATGTTTAAATACATGGGCTGATAAAGTAACTAACCTAGCACAAAACAATGTTCGACTAAGACAAATACGACTGTCGCAACGGGCTTGATACAAAAACTCTCTCGTATTCTAACCCAATGAGCACATTCGCTTCTTTGTTCTGCCTCCCTGCCCATCTGCGTATTGGTAGGGAAACCTCTTAGTTGCAATTGCGCACTGTCTCTATTCCTCTGGATTCGCGGCCCCTATCTACGGAGCTCCCTACCTCCCCTGATCTCTAGCACCTCACCGCATGCTTTGCACATACTCCACTTGCCAATCTTTGTTCTTGTCTTCTACTACCTCCTCTCCAGCTTTTCTCCATCCATCTCTTCCCCGTAAAACAACCTCTTCACGGCCATGATGCCTCCTCCTATACTACCCTTCTCAGACTCCCCTTTTCTCCCACCTCTCTTTACTATCTCCCCCAAGTTAACCCAACACATCTTTTTCATCTTTCCTTTCCCCCCTCCTCTACAACAACACCATTATCCACACCTATGATTCCTTCCAAATCATCCTCGAAACCCACTTTGGAGATATTATCCTTACTTTTTCCAAAAAATCCCTTCCATACCTCACCCTTTCTCTACCCACTACCCTTGCTCTCCCCACTAGCTCATCTACACCCGCATAATGACCAACCCTCGAAACACACTTCCCACCACCCTCCACCCCCAGAGCTCGTAAGAGGCGGCTGCATGTTGAGAGTGTATGGGCAACAACAGTGTTCCCAACCGTCCAGTCCGTCCGTCTTTAGGGTAGTACCGGACGGACCGCTAGTTGTAGTCCGTCCTTTTTCTGGTCCATGGACAGAATTGGGCAGGTTGAGGATGGACAGGACGCCTTACCGGGCCCGGTAGGGCCCTCGGTAGTTTTTCTATTACACCTTGTGGGCCAGTATTCTCAGACACTTCAAGTTCATAATTTCGTCCCACTCATGGTTTACAATCCCGCCAATCATGTACCGTATGCGTAAACTAATAATCCAGGAAGAATTTATTTTTAAGAAAAAAAAACAGTCCAAAGTCTTTGCCAGACTAGCACTCAAAAACCACCGGCACGAATCGGTAAGGCAGCAAGCGTATCCTCAATCTTTGAATGTCCGGACCCAAGAGGGTCAATTGAGTTTGCCGGCAACTCTGCTGGAAAATCCCAGGCATTCTGTTGAGTGAACTTCTGTCGCATCGGTTCTTCGGCTTTGTTGCGGCATCACCGATACAGTTAAAACGAATGATTGATAGAAGTATTAGAAAGAGAAAATGAGGCTCGTAGAAGAATGAATTGGTTCAGTCTTATCTTAATACTCAGATCACAAGATGATCTATTTAACCTTCTCTTTCTTGCGCGCATATCGTTTACCATGTCAGTTACATGACATCACAATATATCACTCATAGTTTGTCTGCAGTCCCTGGCAGTAGTGAGCCATCCCCGGCGGTCCCCCTCATCTTTGCTCACCTATTCCCGGCCAAACCAACTATCTACGGCCACCCCTCGTAGTCCATCCCTACACCCTACAGTCCTTTCCTACACCCTACCGTCTTCTGATACCTACTAGTCACCCGCGTAATCCCGGCCATCCTGATATCTCCCCTCCTGTTCGCTTAAGCAGCGACTGTCCCATCTGCCTCACGATACTGATAAGGGTATGTGTCGGGCCCGGCAGTCCCGGCCCAGCCTGGTAGTCCCCCAGGTAATTTTCCCTACACATGACCATGTCTAGTAGTCTCGTCCCGTCCCGTCTTCTTGGCATTACCCCCGCCGTCTCTATTGCCCCCCAGGATGGTTGGGAACACTGGGAAACAGGGAGTGCTAGGGTATATGTTGGGAGTGTATAGGCAATGGCGGATGCCAGTAATGTGATGTGCATCAGCATGAGCTGGGGTGTTGAGTATTGATGCATGATAATCCTTGGTGTGATGTGCACCAGGGGTGATGAGGGTTCAGATTCCTGAAGGGCATGAGGTTGGAGTGAGCAGTCACATGTTGTTCGGTGTCTTATATGTACATTGCTTAGAGGCTCGCTCCGGAGAACAGTAACGTTGTTTCTTTCTCCGCCACCATCATCGTCTGTTTGTTTACCCACCACTCCCACCTCACAGCACTGCAGTCCAGCTTCGGGGGTTCATCTGGCCGGGCCCGGCCGGACTGCAGATATTTGCAGGCTTCCGAGTGATTGAAGGTGATTGCCCCTATTCCAGTAGGTTCCAGGGTTCCAATAACACGGATTAAACAGAACTAGTGTATACGTCAACGGTCTATGCACATACATTACTAGAATTGGAGGTATGTTATGACATCTCAACAACGATTTCGGATGGTTCTGAATTATATATTAATCCCTGGAGTTGGAATTTTCACCAATACACCATCTGAGTCTGTGCCTAGCAGGTTCGAACCAGCTAGTCGTTCTTGAAGGACTCCGGGGAGCAAATATGAGAGCAGAAGAGGCAGTCTAATCTTATATTCTGGCTTAAATAGCTGTATTCAACCGGATCATTAGGATAATGAGAAAAGAAATAATTCCAGCCACAAAATGATTAGCATGAATGCTTCTGGGAGGATTTGAGTTTCATGATGATACTGAAGTGGAAAAGAAACAACTTGGTAATCAAGTAATTGCTTATAGGCAAGCGATTTATCTACCGCACAATTTAGGAACATACCGAGTGATGTGAAATTACCTCCATTGCTTTCCCAGGCATAATCCAGTGGGAGGTAATCCCAGATATTGCATCGTAATGGAGGACACCCGCTAAGATCTATTGAGGTCTGTGGGTATTATCAGATATCTGCCCGTATATGTACGCTATCTCCTGACCGGCCTGGCTCCTTGCGAACACTGTCTGCCCCGGAAGCTCCAATAATACCTTGCCCAGTCTACCCCACTATTCCCAATTCCACCTGCCGTATCTCTAGCAACTGTAGTTAGACCTCCCTCTCTCCGAACACACTTTTCTCCCCTTTCCTCATACTTGCATCCCTCCAAATTACCTCAAGAAACCAGTCCAGAATGCGTGAGTGGGAGAGAGTTATTCTAAAGCATTAGCCGGACTACTCGTAAGAAGTTCACGAATGGGATAGGTCAACGCCTGAGAGGAGTAGCAGATTTTAGATATCATCTGGATGAAGCCTATTATTGAGGGGTTCAGTTGAGAGGTGTCTTCGAGTCAAAATACTCGACATATCTAACCAAGGGGGTATGTGAGTCGTGAAGTATAGTTTGTGAATATAGCATTGCATGGTAGGGGGGTTATGATAAAGTCGGCGCTGGATGCGGTGTGGCAACTAAACTGGAATTTGGTCCTGAGAGAGAAACTTAGAAGTGGGATTTCTCCTCCGTTTGTGGTTATGGTGGTGGAGTGGTGGTGGGTATGGTCTGGTGGGGGGCCTGAAGGAAAGGGATGGATGAGGATGGAAA